ATAATGTTGATTTAGACTTTATTTCTAACATTGTCGTTTCAGACAGTCAGATCTTTGGGACAATGATACTTTCTCTGTTTCCAGAGAGCCATGGTCATGTCTAATCTAGAAGAATAAATCAACACGTTAACATGTTCTGTTTGTTCCTCCCACGACACACTTGCCATTTGCACCTAAGCCCATTCAGATTTTCATATACAGTGTGTGAGTGTGTGTTGTGTGTCTGGGAGTGCGTGGGTCAGGGTGAAAGTGTGGGAGGTCAGAGGATATTTGCTGGAGTTAGTTTTCCATGACCATGGCTCTCTGTGAGTCGAGATCCCACTCAGATATATAAAGATCTGGTGGTAAGCATCTTTGCCCACTTTGCCATCTCACTGGCCCAGTGCCATCCCACTTCATTGTGAGGCAAATTCATGTGGATGTCAGGAGACCACCCCATGCTTTCTTCTTTCTTCTATGCCTGAACAAATGAGCTTCACTCTATTCCCAGAAGAACAATCTCCAAGCCAGTGTTTCTCAACGCTGGGGGGTCAAACAACCCTTTCAGAGGGGTCACATACCTGGTATCCTGCATATCAGATAGCTACATTCTTATTCACAACAGTAGCATTCATTAGTTATGAAGTAGCAAAGAAAATAATTTTACCATTGGGGGTCACCACAACATGAGGAGTATTAAAGGGTCACAGCATTACGAAGGTTGAGAACCATTGCTCCAAGGTCCATATCAGACTCTGGCTCTTGCTGGTTGTGCCGATAGAATATGGTGCTTTCACCCTGACCTTTTCTACAGCTGGGACTCAGAAAGGCTCCCTGTGCTGTGCAGCCTTCCAGGGTGGGGTGGTTCAGGCTTGCTCAAGTTCACATGTCTGACATTAATGTCTATGGAAGGTCAACAAGATGGACCAGCAGGTAAAAGCAGCTGTTTACAAGTCTGGAGACCTGCCAATCCTCAGAAACACTAACTCCCCAGTGTCAGTCACCCAAAGCACATACCTGTGTCCACATCCACACATACACACACTCAGACACACGGAGACCTACACAAACAACACACACATGCAACACACACTCAGACATACACATCTACACACACACACACACACACCTACACAATACTAATAATGCAACAAAAAATATCGCTGGATCTAGGTTTTGTTTATTTGAGTGTGGTTTGGTATGTTTTTGCTTAAATTTACATGTACTAGAAGAAGACACTTTAGAAGGCTATATAACTATAAATTATAATTCTCATACTGTGTATATCGTGTGGGTATGTGCCTGTGGATATGCTTTGGAAGATGGACTTCCAATCCATTGTGATTTTTTTATTTCTAAAGACAGGGTTCTCTGTGGAAGTGCTCTTACTGTTCTGAAACTGTCTTCATGCTGGTCTTGAATTCTGAGATCTCTGCAACACCACACCTAAGATTTTGCTTGTGTGTTTGTGTGTGTGTGTGTGTGTGTGTGTGTGTGTGTGTGTGTGTGTGTGTGTGTGTGCTTTCATTGTGGAACTTCTATCATGGGTGCTGGGATTCATGGGATTTCAATTTGCGTTCTCTAAGAGATTAGTTAGTAACCATGGAGCCAACAGGGGCAAGCCGCTCGACCACCATTGACACCTATTGGACTCTGTAACCTACAAGACCCACTCCTCTGGTCTAAACCCCCTTAATTCATCATCCTCCCCGTAGTCAACCATCCCCTGCAACATCTGCAGCCCCTAGAGGCACAAGCACCCCTGCATCAATTGGAAGAAGAGGTGAGTGACTGGTCTCCCAGCTAAACTGCCCCAATCTCTAGGCCTTAAGCCCCAGGGCACATGTGTGCCCCTCCCCCTCCCATCTTAGCCCCAGAAGCTGGTCATCAGGTAAGAGTTCTGCAAGCAGGCTGCTCCACCTCCATCACCACCCATTGGACTCTATAATTTACAAGATCCACCCTGTCACCCAAACCCATGGCACTCATCATCCTCCCCTGGCCAACCATTGCCCACAACATCAACAGCCTGTAGAGGCACAAGTACCACCTATACCAATTGGAAGAACAGACCCACTCTGTTGCCCAATCCCACCTACCCCAGCATCCTCTCCATGAACAGCCCTCTCCAGCAACATCAGCAGACGCTATAGGCATAGGTGCCACCAACAGCGGCTGGAAGAACAGGCACAGGCCAAACCTACACCAGTTGGAAGACAGACCCAGTAGGTACAAGTAGAGCCCACACCAGCCAGAAGAACAGGACGATACACTGGATCTAGGCACCCAAATCCCCACAAACCACAGCAGAGGCAACCCTATTGGACCTGACAATCAGCCAATCACCAGAACCCTTGGCCATTCAAGCCAAAAGACAATAAAAGAAACAATTAAGGGGCAAAAGACCCATCCAACAAAGACATCACAAGAATCAACACCTGTTCCTATAATTATACCAAAACAAGTTGGTTAAACTGCAGTGTAAGAATATATTCAACAACACAAAAAACAACACAAAGCACCAGAAGAATCTAGTGATTCTACAACAGTAAGACCAGAATATCCTAACACAGATGAAGCAGAAGAAAACAATGTTAAAAATAACTTTATGATACCAGGTGTTGATGGCACGCAACTTTAATGCCAGCACTTGGGAGGCAGAGGCAGTGAATCTCTGTGAGTTCAAGGCCAGCCTGGTCTACAGACCAACTTCCAGGACATCCAATGCTGTTACACAGAGAAACCCTGTGTCAAAAACCAAACAACAAACCAAACAAAAACGATGATAGAGGCCCTTAAAGAGGAAATTAAAAGTTCCCTTAAAAAATGGAGGAAAAGACAAAAAATTGGAAGAAATCAATAAATCCCTTAAAGAAAGCCAAAAAGAACAAACAGGTGAATGCAACAGTTCAAGACTAGAAAAAATGAAAAAGAGGCAATAAAGAAGACACAAGCTGAGGGAATTCTGGAAATGAAAAATCTGGGTAAATGAACAGGAATTACAGATGCAAGCATAACCAACAGAATACAAATCATGGAAGAGGAAAAACCTCAGACCTTGAAGATATGATAGAGGAAATAGATTTATTGGTCAAAGGAAACCTTAAATCCAACAAAGTCTTAACACAAAACATCCAGGAAATCTGGGACACCCTGTAAAGGCCAATACTAAAAATAATGGGGATAGAAAAAGGAGAAGAATTTCAGTTGGAAGGCATAGAAAATATATACAACAAAAGCATAGAAGAAAA